CACGCAGCCTGGGAGAGCAGGGTGCCCAGCATACACACCTCTGCGCCTCCTCCCTGACTCTCCGAGGAGTGGCCACCAGTCTCAATCTGTGGCAGGAGGCTGCGTACCTCTGCAGGCCAAGCTAGGAGGAGAGGCAGGGCCAGGCCTGGCACCTCCAAGCTGCTGCCCTTTGCTGTCACTGGCCTCTGCGTACGCCCAGCATAAGGATTGTCCACTAGGCTCACGATCCCCATCCATAACTCCCAAACCTTGAAAACCCTGAGGTTCTCATAAATTTGTCCCCAAAGCTCATTTGGCAAGTCCCAGCCCCCTACTTACTAGCCCTGAGGTCGTGGCAAGTAATTTCAACCCTCCGAGCCTTGTCCTGACATCTGTAAACTGGGACGATACTGTCCACACCCACTGCCACGAGGTCCCCAGTGCCCCAGGAGGTCCTGATGCGCGCTCTCGAAGGCCTCCGCCCTACTGTGTCGCTTCCCTCCTCCACGACCTCCCATGGCTCCCTGTGGCCTCCTGAGTGAAGGCCAAAAGCCTCACAGGAAGCTCCTGACTGGTGTCTTTATTTTCTCCACTTTGACATATTTACACACGTGGGTGGAGCGGCCTCAGCATGTTCCTGGAGAAGCCCCTCACTGGTGCGCGGTGGTAAGTGGTTTGTCTCCCTTTCTCCAACCTAGGACACTCAGACTTCTGGAACCTCTGCCCTAGAGTGCCCTGAGGGCCTGGGACGTGGACTCCAGGCCCCGGCACTCTAGGGCTCCTGCGTGTGTGGGCATCGGGCAGGGCACTGAGATCCGGTGGTCTTACTCCACCCTCTCAGTGTCCGAAGCACAGCCGCAGTGTCACCTGGAGGCTGAGGATCCGAGGCTCCCAGCAGTTCGTAGGGTGAGGGTGGAGCCTGAACCGCGGACGGCTACCAGGGGCCACACACGGTCAGACAGCTCTCTCCGCTGTCTGCCAGGCTGGGGAGGTCCAGCTCCCAGGTCCACGGCAGGAGTCCAGGCACCGTCCCCCGCAGCTCTGGCCTGACTGAACACGGCGGCACCCCTCAGCCTGGGCCAGCAGGGGACGCTTCGGATGCTGCTGGGGTCTTTGGACTTTATCCAGACAGCAAGGGGAGCCATGCAAGGCTTCAAAGCTGAGAAGCAGGACAGTGAGATGGACGCCTCGAAAGAGAGGTGGACACCTTGGTCCTGGTGCACCTTCCAATCCCCGGTGGCACGCAGAGCCCAGCGCCCCAGCCCCAGAGTGCCCGCTCAGCCAGCCAGGGCGGACGAGGGGTTCTCACTTCAGACAGATTGCAGGTGGGGTGTGCGGGGACCACCCTCCGAGAACCGATTCTGTAGAACCTGGCAGTGGGGAGGGATCCAGGCTGCCCGGTCACCTAGTGCTCCATGCTGTTCCCCTCGCACACACGTGGCAGGACCCTGAGCCAATGAGGGGACGCCTCCCAAGCAGCCTCCAGCAGGGCCGGCTGATCCAGGCACTGCCCACTCCAGCCCCCAGGCAGGGGGACAGTGAGCCAGGCCCCACTAAGAGCAGGCTGCTCTGGCCCTCACCAGCTGAGGCCAACAGATGGGCACTGCCCGTTCCTGGCCTCCAAAGGTGGAAGAAGCAAACATCTGCCCGACTCCGAGTCCCTGGCAGGACTCGAGCAGGTGAGCTGACCCAGTAGTGCTGCTGATGGAGGGGGGCTCATGCCAGCCCAGGACCCCCGGCCCGAGGACTCCCAACCTGGCCTCGGGTCCTTCAAGTGGCTGCACGAGAGCGTCCAACCACTTCCCTCGAGGTCCCTGTCCTCCATTGGGGTCTTGTCCTCAGCAGCCCTTGGAGGTACCCAGCCTGGACGTGGCTCTTCTCTCTGAACCCACCAGATGGGACAGCACTGGGGGAACAAGGACCAGGGGCTGGACTTTTCCGTAGGCTTCAGACATTTGGTGACAGTCACGCTGGCCCAGGGAGTGCGAGGCTGGGAGGAGAAGGGGAGCAGGGCTGGGGTCAGGCACGGCTCCTCCTGGCCATCCAGATGTGACGGTGGAGAAGGGCAGCCGAGGCTGGCCCAGCAATGCCCGGTGGTCTAGACCTACTGACATTCAGGCCCCGTCCCTGTGGGCAGCAGGGGAGGCCGGGGGGTCTGGAAGTCCCGACCTTCGGCAGAGCAGACCAGGTCAGCCCCCCGCTCCGGGGCACTCGTGGGGAGCAGGGTCCAGCCCTTACGGGTGGCCTGCTGGCTCCATCTCTGGTTCCACCAGTGGGGTGGCCAGAGGAGGGCTGCTCCCAGAGAGGTGGTCCTGCAGCCACCAGAGGGCAGGTTCCTGGCCCCGGGCCCCTGGAAAGCACGTGGGCCGCAGATGGTTCTGCTGTGGCCTGCTGGGCCGCCCAGGCCTGGGTTTTCCCCCCTGGGTTTCGTGTTCTGACGGGAACCCGAGGATCTGGAGTGAGTTCACTGCAGCCCCAGCATTCCAGAGCAAGTTACCCCGGCTGGCGCTGCTCCTGGGACCTGCGAGTGCACACCCTCCCCAGCTGCCGAGCAGAGTCACAGGCCTGCGCCCTCAGGAATCTGCAGAACTTTCTAGAAGCTGACTTCCCTTCCAGTGAGAGGAAACAGTCTCTGGGGTTGATTCCAAATTCTGCTTCTTGGTTCCGCAGCACCTTCTCCACATTCTGTTCCAAAAGTCACCCCAGCTTCCTGCCCCACCAAGGGCTGCCTGTCCCTGAGCCAGCCAGACTAGACGTCCCCAGTTCTCCCAGGGCCGGGGTCACCTCTTCCCCTGCATCTCCTCCCAGCCGGATCTGACCTTTTGCTCCGTCCCCCTCCTCCCTGCAGGCCTCTCCCCTCCCTCCTTCCTGCTCCAAAGAGAAAGACCACGCTGTGTGTTTCACACGTAATCAATTTAGACGTTTCCAAAACCGGATCACGGTATGATTTCAGGTGGAAATGGCAGAGTCACCAAGGGGAGAAAAGGACAAAGAGGAGAGAGGAATGTGTGTCTATGGGCCTATGGGGTGGGTGTGTATGTGTGAGTGTGGGTGTCTGGGTGTGGGTGTGGGTGTGGGGTGGGAGGTGGGGCAGGCTGCTAAAGTGGTGACATTTGGGCAAAGACCTGCACGGGGAGCACTGGCCCTGGAGCACAGCACAGCAGTGCAAAGGCCCTGCGGAGGCTGAGCAGGGAGGCCTGGCCACACACACACCACACACACCCACACACCACACATACACGCACACCACACACGCACATCACACATACAATACACACATGCACACGCGCACACACACACACGCACACACACACACAGCACTGTGTGCAGGCCTCCCTTCTGTGTTTACCCATTTGCTGGATAAATATTGATGCACAGCCTGGCCGGGGGCTGCCGGGAAGCTGAGCCTCGGGGTGAACGTCCTGTCCCAGGGGTGTCCCAACTCTGGGTGACCGTGGACAAGTCTCCCCACACTCCTGGCTTCCGTTACTGCCTCGCTGTGATGGGGACGTGACTCCCTCTCTCCTAGAACTTTCCAGAGAGTCCCATGAGAACATTCCAGCACCCACCTTCTGAGTGTTATTCTTTCCCTTCCACCTTGGGGAACAGCTGCTGTTCCACCGCCCCGGGAAGAAACCCAGGGCTTCTGCTTCTCACACTGGCTGAGGCCTCGGGTGCCCGGGTTTTGCTTTTCTGAGAAGTCCTTTTGAGTCTCTGAAAGGCTAGGGAAGAAGGGCTGCCGAAGGTCGGGTGGTGGGTCTGGGCTGTCTTGCACCCCACCAGCACCCCACCCAGTGGAGGACGAGGGACAGCACGGATTCTCAGCCGTCACTGGACGCAGCAGATCCGGGGCCCTGATTTTGAGCCTTGCTCTGAGCTGAGGCTGCACCCCCTTTCCTCCCTGTGGTAATCCCCAGGTGGGAGCCAGGGCTCGACAGCCAGGCAGACCCTGACCTTGGACTCGGGCCCAGAACCCAGCGGCTTCCAGCAGCCCTCCTGCCAGCGACTGGCCAGGTGTGCCGGGTCCTGCAGAGAGCAGCTGTGCAGCCAGCTAGTGACCCAGAGGGGAGGAGAGCCAGGGAGGGAAGGTGGGGATGAAGACTCACCCTCATGCCAACTCATCAGGAGGATGGCAGTCCTGACCCCTAGAGGGGCAGGACCAGAGCAGGCCCAGCAGGTGGGCAGTTCCTGGGGGCTTCCTTTCTGTATCTTCTAAAGGTTCTCTGTTGAAGATGTCCTAACTACTATTAAAACCACAAGGAAAAAAAGCACCTTTTAAGAAAGAGGAGACATTTGTGGAAAAGAAGCTCAAAAAGAAATAGGGTATCAGTTTTCAGATGTAGAAAGTGTCAGATGTGACGCTGAAAAGCAAGAACAGCCTATAAGAGTTCCCCACAGACGGGACGGGGGTGCGGAGGGACTTGACTTAACGTACCGCGGAGCTGGGTGCCGGGGCCCACGCCTGTCGGCCCAGCAACTCAGGAGGCCGAGGCAGGGACGTCAGGTTCAGGGCCACCTCGGCAACCCAGTGAGACCCTGTTTCGAAATGAGGGCTGGAATGTAGCTCCGAGGTAGCGCGCCCCTGGTACCAGCCCCCACAAATATCTGTATATATCCTCGACGGTGGACAGCAGGCATCTGTCCCATCCAGAAGTCCCCTGTGGGGCAGGGGAGGCGTCCATGTCTCCCGTGTGGCCCCCTTCAGCTCTGGCCGGACTCTCTGCCACTCGCCTGTCTTCCAGTCTGGGGACGAGGAGGCACTCGAAGGCCCAGGTAAAGTGTGACCTGCCCCGTGTCCCTCTGAGGACCTGGCCCACGGCAGGCATCCATAGTGCTTCAGGATAAACTGGGGAATATCTTTAAAAAGGAAGGTGCCACTAAAACCAAGCAGAGAGCTTCGGACACTTGAGGGCGGGGCGTGTCTTCTGTCAGGGGCGGGGCGAGGGGCTCCAGGGCAGCTGCGCGGGGACTACTTTCACCCCTCCCGGTGCTGCTGGACACCCTCTGGATGGCCAGTGGGAGTGGACACAGAGCACTTGTCTTGGTTCCTCTCAGAGCCCAAGGCCAGCGCAGGACCGTCGACCAGAGGCCACACGGTTGTATTCCAGGAAGCCCAGGTCCGGTCCCCAGTAGCAGACAGAATGGCAGAACAGGGGCGCCTGAGGACAGCCCTCCAGGGGATGAAGGTCCTGCAGCCGCGACTCCTCCTGCTGCAGCCCTGTCCTGGGCCCCGACTCCAGCACTCAGTGCTTGCTCTAGACCGAGTGGGTAAGGACCCTCTTGCCACATGTCCACTCTGAACCCCGGAATGAGCAAGCATTTGGGCTTGTTTCTAGTAGGTTCCAGACACAGCTGTGGGCTCCTGCTCAGGAAGTCCGCGGCTTCTGGCGCAGCTGGGCTGCCGTTTCAAATCCACTCCTGATTTTCACCTGGGGACTTTTTTTTTCCTTTTGAAGGCACGGGCAGGGTCCTCACCAGAGCCACAGAGAGGAGACAGCTCAAGTGCCATGGGTCCAAGTGGCGGAAGGGACGGGCCAACCTGCCGCAGAGCATGCTTTGTTATGAAGAGCAGCAAGGTGCCCATCCGTGCCACAACTCGGGGACCCTGAGACACAGCACAGGTGTCTCAGAGCACCACCAGGTGTGAGATGTCCAGGGCAGTCGCTCTGTGGACAGGGGGCAGACTCAGGGCCGGGTGCTGGGGCAGGCCTGTGCCCGCACTGGCTGGGGAGCTTCTTTTGGGGGTGATGAAAGGTCCTCAAACCAATCGATTGTGGGGCTACATGGAAAACCATTGCCTGGTGCCTTCACCTGAGTGACTTCATGTTCTGTGGAGTCCATTTCAACAAGGCCGCTGTCCCCAGCCAGAAAGAAGAGCATGTCCCCTCTCAACAGCCCAAGTGTCCTGAAGTGAATTTCACAGCCATGGGTCTGCTTGGGTTTCTGAGGGACATTTTTATGTTCAACAGCTTTGAGCTTGATCCTCAAGGTCCACTCTGCCCTCTGAAGGAAGCCTCCGCTTGCCTCCCACTGCCTGTCCCCACTGGAGTGACCCTATCTGTGACCCTCGGCCCTCCCTGCTCCACGCCCAGGCTTCCCCCTCCTGTGCCCACAGGCTCAGCTGCTGCCAGCTCCCGGATGCCAGAGCTGCCACCTGGGGCCCTGGCCACACTGGCCACAATGTTGTGATGTGTTTGGATGAGGAGTGGTTTGGTGCCAGCGTTGCCAGGCTCCGAGGGTGACTAATCCCATCTGCATTTTTGGTTTCAGCTGCCTGAGCTGTTCAGCTGAAGGACCTCAGAGAGGTCACCTCCTCCCAGGCATGAATGCCTGAGCTCAGGCCCATCCCGAAGGCCCCTCGGCCACTCCGGACACACAAGTATGTCCAGCAAGCCTCTGCTGGGCCCGGCTGTGTGCTGCCCGCCATCCCGAGGACACGGGTTCTTGCTTTAACAGAATAACAAAAACTTCGATGGGAAGGAAAGACGGAAAAGAGCCCGGGACAGAGGGGTGTCCCGATACCCCGGTGCTGTCAGACACCGGCCTCGGGCCACTGGGCCTCCATGTTGGGTGTCCATGGTTCCCTGTCCGTGGCCAACTAACTATGGGGCAAAAAAAATTTTTTAAATCACATCTGTACTAAACCTGCACAGACTGGCTTTTCTTGCCATCATTCCCTAAACGATTCCGTGTGACAACTGTTTACACAGCTCGGCCTGCACTGGGCACGGGAGGGGATGGGAGTGCACGGAGGACGTGCAGGTTCTAGGCAGAGACAGGCCTCTCACGGAAGGGGCTTGACACCCTGGGGACAACAGGGCACCACTGGACTTAGACAGGCTGCCCGCTGGGTGGCCGGGGTGGTGAGGAGGCAGCCTCTCTAGGAGGTGGCTGAGGAGAGCCCTGAAGAGGGAAGGACTCCCAGACCAGGTGCCCTCCTCTCGGCCACGGAGCAAGGACGCCAGCAAGACTGGGGCGGCAGCAGGCCGGTGTCCCAGGGCCTCTCTCGGGTGTCCCAGGGCCTCTCTGATTTCCAGGGGCTGCGGGAAGCCACGGAGGCTCACAGGAGAACAGGATCTGGCTTTCATTTCCTAAGGGCCACTCTGGCTGCGGGTGGGGAATGGACAGGTGTGGAGACCAGGATGGCTGGGGCAGGACAGCCTTCAGTCCTACCTGGGCCTAAGCCCTGAACTTGTTTCCTGTCCACAGGAGGCCAACAGGTCCAGGGGAGGCCCCTCATTCCAGGAGAGCCGGCGGCCATCTCAACACCTCTATTGCCCCCGAAATCTTCATTTAAATCAGTTGCTATTATTTCGACTTAAATAACTTACCTTTTAAAGGAAATTATATCACAGCCAAAGGTCATGGTTTGATGAACAAATTTTGCTTCTTTTTTCTAATCCACAATGTGAGTGACAACTGTTTACAAAGTTTTGAAATTAACATGTAAACATAATCTTAAGACTAAAAATGAATAGTGAAACTTTAAGTATAAAAGTTTACCAGGAACATGAGAGTAATGCATTAATTATTTTTTCCAATTCCTAGTAAATACTTGATTTAAAAAAAAAAAAAAAAGCATTTGATCTGGGCTGTGCCTGTGGCTCAGCAGTAGAGTGCTCGCCTAGCATGCGCAAGGCCCTGGGTTCGATCCTCAGCACCACATAAAAATAAATAAACAAAATAAAGGTATTGTGTACAACAAAAAAATAAATATTAAAAAAAAAAAAAAGCATTTGATCCAAGTGCCAGTTTGAATCTCCTCCTGTGGTTTCAGGGACGAGCAATACAAGTTACTGACTTTGCTTCTTCACGGCTGTGTGACCTTATGCTGGTTATTTCACCTCTCTGAGCTTTAGTTTCCTTTCCAGGGAGGTGGGGATGGTGACAATCTGAACTTATTAAAAACCGAATGTGCAATGAGTGTTTAACCAGAGCCCACCGAGTCCTGGCCCAGCGGGCGTCGTGGGTCTGTGAATAACCACGTGGCGGTGAGTCCCACCAGGCTCCCGGGCACCTCTCTGGCTGGGCCCTGTGCAGGGCTGAGGTTCCAGACACAATCAGGAACAGCTCCTCCCCTACCTGCTGGTCCTCTAGCGGGGGACAGACACCCCYGGCCTGCTCACTGTGAAGAGGGCCATAGTGGGCAGAGGGCGGGCCAGAGGGAGGAGGGTGGTCTGCCCAGGGCAAACTGTAGGCRGCTTCTAGAGAAGGTGCTGCTCCGCTTTGGTTCTGAGGGGTACCCAGGAGTCTGCCAGGTGAACAGAGAGGGTTGGGATGCTCCAGGCAGAGGGAACCCACAGCAGTGGTACGGAGGCCTGAAGCAGGCCACCAGCAAGGGCTGCGGTGCAGGCAGGGGACCTGGAGGGCATGCTCCAGTGCCCCCAGCCCAGGCCTGGAAGGGGCCAGCAGTGGCTCGATGTGGGTCAAGCCCAGGCCCCAGGCCCCAGGCCCCAGGCCCCCAGGCCCCAGGCCCCAGGCCCCAGGCCCCCAGGCCCCAGGATACAGACCCCAGGCTCCAGGACCCAGACCACAGGCCCCAGGCTCCAGGACCCAGACCATAGGCCCCAGGCCTCAGACCCCCAGGCCCCCAGGCCCCAGGCCCCCAGGCTCCTGCCTCTGCATTCTTGTGAACCAAAAGTAGAGATGAAGGGCAGCAAGGACAACTCGGAGCAGGCTGCCCTGGGCTTGGAACCTCGACTCCCTGGGCCAGCGGGTCTGGTTCTCCTCCCCTGGGATGGGAGAAGGCCCCTGGGAGCTAGAGGAAGCACGGGCACCCTCGGGAGGCACTCATACCAGGCCCAGGCCCTGGTGCCCGCTGTCCCTGCCTCACCTCCACAGCCCTGTGGGGTGGGCCCTGCCACCCAGCGATGGCGGGAAGGAGACTCCCAGCAGTCTGCACGCCCGCCCAGCAGTAGCCGGACCTGCTGAGCCAGCCTGCCTGGCCCTGGCCCCACTGTGCCCCTGTCAACGCCCAGGCAGTTCCCAGGTGACCAGCTGGGCCTGGCCACCTTAGATGGGAGGCCACGGCAAGTGAGGTATGTGTGCCCTACTGGGCACAGATGGTGACCTGGGTGCTTGGGCCTCGCACAGGGTCCCCAGCAAGGAGCACTGAGCTGACCCCCAGCTGCTGCACAAGGGCTCGCTCAAGGTCACACAGTCAGAAGCAGGAGCTAAGCACAGGCCAGGCCCTGAGCTCCCCCCGCCTGCAGGGCACGGGTCCAGTCTGTGCTGAGCCTGTCCTAGGCCCCCACTAGCCCCTCTGCCTCCCACGCCCCTGACCATCGCCTAGCACCCCCTGAAGATCCTCATGGCTCAGCCTGGATCACTCCTGGCCCCTTGTGCTGTTCTCTCTGCCCAAATGCCCTCCCTTGACCCTGCTCAGCTACTCCCAGTGCTCTCCTGCCCACCCCATAAGGCCCAGCGTATTGCTGCCTCCTCCAGGAAGCCTGCCCTGACCCACAGCCCAAGGAGCTGTCTCATCCTCCTCCGTGAGCACAGGTACACAGGCGCAAGGTCTGAGAGCACAGGAAGGAGGAGACAGGCGGGCCTTGGCAGTTTCTGTCCACTGACAATTTCTTTAGTGAACACATAACAACTCGTCAATCAACTGCTTGCTTGCCGCATGCTCTCCAGGGCAGTGATGACTGTCAGGAGTAGAGTGTGGCACCTGATGGGGTTGCCAGGCATGGCCTCACAAAGCGTGTGCTAGGGCACTGTGATCCAGAATGGCTACAAAATCTGGGCCCCAGGACCAGCTCCGACACAGACATAGAGTCAGTACCTGCTCCTGGGGGACTTTTCTCATAGTGCCCGTGTGTGCCTGTGTGAGACCATGCACTGGAGCACTGTGGACGGGGAAGAGACCGGAGCAGCAGGTGGGCACTGCAGGCTCTCAAGGGTCCCAACCCCATCCCGGCTGCCCACCTTCTCACCATTGTCCCAAGGTAAAGTAGAGAAAAAAGAAAGCTCTGAAACAGTTTGGTTAGTGGCACAGCTGGGGACCCAGGCACAGACCACAGGAAATGACATTTGCCCAAGATTTCAGTTGGCCCAAGAAGCAGTGTGAAGGCCCCTCCATGGACGCAGCAGAGAGCTGCCTGCTCCTTACACCACGCTCTGTGGAGTTCTGGGGCACTGGGTCTCCTGCTGAACCCCGGGAGAGGCTGGCCAGACCCTCACTGGAGGCACACATGAGAAACCGGTCACTTCGGTTCCCTGGATGGAGATGGAGAAAAGACGGGAAGAAGACCCTGGAGTACTTTTGAATCTTTGGCCACAGACATGAGTCAACCTGCTGGGACGAAAGCATCCCATTTTAAACAAGAGCCATCCGGCGCTGGCGGCAGGAGGCAACACTAACTCGCCGCCTGACCTCTGGCAGGGCCCACTGCCCACGGCTGAAATGGAAGGGTCAGCCTAAAACAAGGGCTCAGGTCAGAGAGCATCCAGGGCAGGCCAAGGCCGGGCCCAGCAGGCCATGCAGAGCCTCCTGGGGCCAACCCACAGCGTGTTGCTCATCCCAGGTGGCACGTCAGCAGTGCCTAGTCACCTAGATGTGGACACACACTCTGTGTCCCGGCAACAGGAGCCTCATGTTGATGCCGTTTCTCAGGCAGCAGCTGCAGCAGGTCCCAGCTCAGGGGGCTCGTTTTAAACCCTGGGTCTGGCGGACAGGATGGCAGGTCACAGCCTGGCTGTTGCAAGATGCACACACTAAAAAAAGATGACCCTGAATGCCAGGAAGAGCCCAGAGCAGACACCTCTCCTCACTCCACACTGCCTCTGCCAGGGGCCCCGGAGCAGCAGGCAGCAGGCTCGGGGGCTAAGTCAACAGAGTCACCTGATCCCAGAGTCCCACCTGGAGGAGTTCACAGTCCGTCACCAGACCCTGGACAGGCCATTCTTGGGGCTCTATCCAGCTTCCTGATTATTTTATAGTGGCTTTCATTTGTTTGATTTGTCTCAATCAAAATCCTAAGAAGGTGCCCTCTGATAATTGGCTGAGGTGTCTCCAAGTCCCCTTCGCCCTCCAGACCCCCCCTTACTTATTCATGGACCGTTTCTCCCCCGCCCCCCCCATCTGTAGGAGACACCGGCTATTTAGCTACATTTACCCACATTGTGTCCCATATCTAAATTTTGCTGGCTACAGCACAGCCCCGTGGTGCCACTGGACACGTTCCTCTGTCCCCTAGACTCCTGTGAAATGTGGGTGGAACTTAGGGCTGGAGCAGGTTTGAGATCCTACAAGACTATTTCCTGAGTGGCGCCGTGTTCTTCCCTCTGGGGCTCAGATTGCCTACTTGGGTGTCTTTGAGGCCAGCAGCCAGAGCCACCCAAGGCCAAGTTCTGTTCCTTTATTAGAAGTGGCTCAAGGAGCCACGGATCCTGTTACCCCTTTTGCATTTTGAAGCAGGAATAATTCTGTAAGTGGAAACTCCCCTCATCCCCCCAGGAAAGGCATTGAACTGTGACTTTTCTGTTTGAGAGTTTAAATCCTTCTCGGAGCATTAATAGGTACTTTCTATATGGACAGCCTATTCTCAGAGCCTTTGTCTCCGCACCTGTAAAATGGACATGCTGGCCAGCGCCACCCAATCCCTGCCCAGGAACCCAGGGTTAGGGTTAGGGTTAGGGCCAGGGTTAGGGTCAGTGTCAGGGTCAGGGTCAGGGTTAGGGTCAGGGTCAGGATTAGGGCCAGGGTTAGGGTTAGGGTCAGGTCAGGGTTAGGGTTAGGGTTAGGGTCAGGTCAGGGTCAGGGATAGAGTTAGGGTCAGGTCAGGGTCAGGGTTAGGG